TATTACTTGCTGCTATGACATAATTGAATGCAGTCATAATGAAAGAAAGAAATTACATAAATAGATCTAAATGGAAATGATTAATCTCTTAAAGCACCCTACTTGTATGTTGAATTACCAAGTGAAAAGAAAAGTAATGGCAGAATACTCGCCAGCTTTAAACTGTACTTTATTTTATAGACGAACTAAACATGAACTAGTTTACACTTTCTTTATAGAGGAACTAACATGCACTAGTTTATATTTTCATTATAGAGGAACTAAACATGGAATAGTTTTGAGAATGTTTAGCTTCACTAAGTCATAATTTAGACATTCAATTGGCACATATAAAATTCCTATCCTTAGATTTATTACTTTGACTATTTCATTTGTTACTGTGACTGCTTTCCTATAAACATTCTTAAAGCACATGCTATGCAGGTACATGAAGACAGAAAGAGTCTGTAATATAAATGCATTAAGAAACTCTGATCACCCTGTGGCTTTCCTTAATTTTCATAGCAAAATCTATTTTGAAATTTAATATCTTTTGATTAAAAAATAATTGTTATCAACTTTATCATCACCTCTGATATAAAGGTATTTTGAAGTGGGTGAAAAAAAACAAAAAGTAACTCCCATCCCCTGTCCCCAGGGATGTGTATTTTTGCATGTGGGAGCCTTTGTAACGGGTCTCTGTGGTCAGTTGTACACCTTGACTACAGATTCAGTGCAGAAGAAAGGAGGGAGAGGAAATAGAAATAAGTTGCACAGCATGACTTCTGAAGGCCACATCCATTTTTAACACAGAGTGTTATCTTCATAAAGATTCAAAGCCTTTTGAGCCACCTAACTACAAAGTTCCAAACATTTCTCCTCCATTCCAGAGGAGTGTCCTGGAATACCTTCTATCCTCTACCCGTGTGATGACTGAGCTCCCAGGATTCCCGATTGCTTGAGCATGATTGCTGAAATGGTTTGGACCTTTTCCGTAGCACAGTGTTGTGTATGGCTGTGCTCCTTCTTACTGGTCTCTAAGGGGAGTATTCTGGATGCTGAGTGTTTGAAAGTGACTGAGGTTGAAGAAAAGGGAGGAGTCTGCCTGCTCATAATACTTCAATCAAACAGAATAGGCTAGGCCTACATACTCCAAATCAGGTTCCATCACATAGCTCTAATAGTAGCGATAATAGGTGATTATAGCTAAAATTGACTAGCAGTTTCTCTTTTCAAGTTTCGGTGGCCAGCCTGTAGGTGTATCCTCTCATTCACCTTCACAGTGACCTTGGGAAGATGGTTTAAAAAAATATGAATGTTCTACAGGCGGAAAATGACTGAGCTGGGATTCACATTCAGTTTCATCAGGCTGCAGAGCTGCAGCTCTAGATTGCTGAATTTTACTGCTCTTTCAACAGCATCCTTTTATGCAATAGACATAGCAGGACTCTTAAAGTAGGGGAAAAATTTATTCTACTTTCATAACTAAAATGTAGTCCCTAGAAAGAGTAGACTACTGTACATAAGATTGTTCTAGTACTGAATATTTATTCATTCATTTAATTAACATTTATTGAACACTTACAATAAGCCAGACCCTCTGTATAAGATATTGTTTCTCTTCCCAAAGAAATTATAGTCTAATAGATATAAAGACAAATAAGTATGATTGAATGTCAGAGATCCCATAATACAGGGTCAGGAAATAAAAAGAGACCAAAGGTAAAGAGTAATCATATATATATATCCTATATAATAAAAGCTTAATATGCAAATCGACTGAACAGTGGAAAGACCAGTCAGCGGGGGGCAGGGCCGGCTAGTGGGTGGTGCCAGGCCAGTCAAGGCAGGTGCCAGTGGGCAGAGGGAGGGGACAGCAATCGGGGGTGGTGGCAATGAGTGGTGGTAGAGGGGTGATTGAGAGGTGGGGCCAGCCGGTTGCCGGCCGGCACCGGCCCCCGATCACCCCACAGGTCACCTCCAACAGAGGGAAGCCAGATTGCGGCTTAGGCCCACTTCCCATGGGGAGCAGGCATAAGCTGTCAGTCGAACATTCCCTGAGGGCTCCCAGACTGCGAGAGAGCTCAGGTCGGGCTGAGGGACCCCCTGAGTGCACAAATTTTCAGGCACCGGGCCTCTAGTATATGTGTGTGTGTGTGTGTGTGTAATATAAGTGGCAATGGTCAGGTTGGGGTTGGCGTTTTCTGAGAAAGTTTTCATAAGACACACCTGAAATGAATCTTTAAAGGCAAACTAGTGCCTTTTAGGTAGAACAAGGGGACACTGGCAGGACTGGAGGGAAGATGGAGGGAACTGTCGGAGAAGGCACGGGCGTGGAAAGGCACCGTAAATCTCAGAACTGATTATTTAAAAGGTTAAAAAACTGGAGGGATAGATAAACCTGGAAAGCAACTCAAGAGTTTTGAATTTAATCCGCATGATAGTCATTGATGAGTTTTAAGCCATGAAAAAACTAGCGAATTTATGTTCTGGGAATATCCCTGATAAAATGAAGGATACATTTGGTTGCAGGGAAGGGGTATGGAAACTTAGTCTAGAGAGTGGAAGTCAGAAGAAATGCCTATGAGGTATGAAAATACGGTAATAACTCTCCCCCAAATCCTGTGATCATCATAATCCTTACCTACAAGACTCTCTTTAATCACTCCAGCCCAATGTCTGAAAATAATACATGCTTAATACATATTTGTCTCAGAATTATGGCATTGGGGCAACTCTAAGGAAAGGGATAATTGTTCAGTAGAATGACTGTTAAAATATGATTTTAGGGGACTGTGGGGACCACAACACGTTATTTCACACAGTTTTCACCACTTATTCCTGAGCAGCACTCCATCCAGGCAAACTGGACAAAGTCACAAACATGTTGCATTGGTGTTTCAAAACTCAGTTTATGTGCCCAATAGGAAGGAACAGAGAGGAATTGAAAATAATCAATTTGTGACTTTGTTTACAAAAAAAAAATTCCCTTTGAAGTAGCTTTTGAGTAAATTGCCTTTTAAAAATCTCTAACCACTTTGGGATAAATCACTTTTGGACCCAAGGGAAATAAAGATTTAATGTGTCTTAGACTCACAGTTGCAAATCTTCGTGGGGTCCTAGTTATGCTCTCTGAAACATATCCCCCAGGTATGTCAAAATATTTGTTTGTTTTATAAGTGAAAAGTGCCCTGAATTAGGATGGCAAACTCATTTCATTTCTCACTTACAACATCTGCATATACGTTATTGTACTGTTATTGTTTACCAGTGAAACTTATTGTGGAAACGATCTCAGGGTTCTTAGTGAGTAAATCACAGTTCGGAGATGATAAAGTTTGCTCACTGTCCCCTGGATTGAAATCTTGCCAGCAGACAGTCACTGCTTGGAGGGTCCCTGGCACCCTGCCACTGGAAGGGCACAGCTTTTCCACAAGGGGGTGTGGGCGGTCTGCCGTGGGTTTGCGCACACTGCACAATAGAGCAGTCAGGAGGAGGTGACTACCCATCTTACTCCTCCCAGAAATCACAACATGCTCACAATTCACTGTTTGAAAATAGCGGTGGGTTTAGGCAGGACCCTTGTTACAGACATTTCTATAGCAAAATAATGAACATATTTTTTTATATATCCATCTAGCCAGGCTAGAAGACATCTTTTACTCCTTACCAAGGCCATGGCTTTCTCTTGCTTTTCCTTTAGGACCTTGTGTTAAAATGTTGCCTGCTTGAATTTTCATCTTTAGTCATGCCCTCTTACCTGGAAATATGCTCACGCTTTGCATATCTAAAAATCCCTTCCCTTAAGAATGTTCTTTCTAATGCCTAAAATTAATACTCCTCCCACTCTTTTTCCTGACTGGAACAATCACTGTTTCTTTTAAACATCAAAAAGAAGTCATTTCTATTCCTTTACCTTCAAAGTTCTCTTCTAATCAGTCATAGCCTGTAGATTTTTACTTGAAACTTTTCCCCATGTCTGTCCTCTTCTGTCTAACCTTGAGCCCAAGAGGAAATGTTCATCATCTCTGATCTGAATTATGGCAATTGCTTCAAACTGATTTCTTTAGAACTCCCTCCCTCTAATCCACTCTAAGCAGAGCTTCGGGATTAATCCTCCTAAATCATCAACTTGAATAAGTAATATTTATGCTAATACTAATAACAATAGCAGTAACAACAACATTCAATTACTTTTCATTCTCTCCTGAATTTTCACCACCCTCCCAATTTGACACAGCAATTTTCACTGCTGTATTTCTCACTTTATTTCATCGTTCTCATTTCATTTCCTCTTCCTGTCACCTCAGGCATTGCCATCCCTGTGCTTGTGTGTTTTCTTTGTCAGATTCTGAAATCTTATTTCTTCTTTAAGGCTCATAGAAAACCCCATCTTCTCTATATTTCTTTCTCAAAATCCTTGATAAGTCATTTCCTTGTTGTGAACTGAGTTTCAAAAAAATTTTTTTAGTTGTTGAAACAATTTATCTGGGCAAAAGTTTGCTTCTGATCCAGTTATTTTCTTCTGCATACCTTCATCAACACAAGAAACTTTATAGGGACACACCGGAGGCTAAAGCAAACAGCAGTTAGCATAAAAATGCAAAAAGAATCATTGGAAGGCCAATGGACTTTGATATTCAGCAGGGCTGAAAATCAGCATAATATTGCCCTGCTGTGGGTTCAATGGCTCAAGGCAATTCCCTAACCTGATAATCCTTTTACTGTTTACCAAACTTTACCTTTGATCTGCCTGTATGCATTGCTAAAGGGCAAATGTGTATTCAAGTAAATAAATAACCAGAGGTCGGTGTGTCTCTTCAAAAAAGAGGCTCCACCTGGCCCCCAATGCCTTCTAAATTCATAATTCTTGTATAGTATTTTCATTTGTGCATCAGCCCCTCCTTCAGATCCTGAGCCCTGCTGCAAAGGTCATGGCAGGGACAGACTGATTGCTTTTGGATGGACTCAGAGAAACTAGTTGTTATGAAATATTCTGGACATAATCATCATTAATGTACACAGGCCCCCGCTTGTTTATTTATTTTCTTCATCTCTATTTCCTTTTGCTATTTCCCTTTGCTCATGTAATAAGTGCAAATAAAGGGTTCTTATAAAGTGTGTGCTATGGCTTGTGACAAATATATTTCATTTAAATGGTTTCCTGAGAACCAAGATGGTGGTGTAAGTAAATGCTTGTACTTGCTGCCTCCTATAACCACCTCAAAATTACAACTAAAATACAGAACAACCATCATTCAGAACTGCCTAAAATCTGGTTGAATGGAAATCCTACAACTAGAAAAGTAAAGAAGAAAGTGAATTGAGACTGGCAGGAGTGGCTGAGGCATGGAACAGGCTGAACCAGCACTCATGTGTGCCTTTTTTAAAATTGGGTGGGAGATTGTCTCTGCAGAGGCCACCGTGAGGAGCCCCACACCAGACCCCCATCCCAGGCTCCTATAGATGGGAAGAGAAGTCCCCATAACTTTGGGCTGTAAAATCCAGCAGGGATTGGCTGCTGGAGACACAGCTGTTCCTCTTAAAAGGCCAGCACATAAACTGAACTTACAAGATCCCACTTCCTTTGAGCTCCAGCACCAGGGTGAAGCTCTGGGGGACACAAACACATACAAGGAGGAACTGGATTGTCTGTCAGTAAGGCAGGAACTCAGGGGAGGCATTCTCTCAGATGGAGGTGTTCGCAGAGGTCATTGTTCCTGAGCTGGGACTTCCCAGTTGTAAGGCTGACTGGCAGTCATATCTGAGTCTCCATCAGCCTGGAGCACACTGTTTGCTCCACCCTGGGGATTTCCTGAGACCCCACCCCAGCCAATTTGCAGCCTCACCCAACCTGTTTGCAGTGGCTTTTGCATATAAATGGCCTGTCCTGGCTCAGCCTTCAGACTTAGCTAAAATCTCTCAAAAAAGTTGCAGCTGGGTCAGGGAGCCCCAAACCTATCAATAAAAGGCCCAAGACCCAGCACTAGCACCAGCCTGCCTACTTTACAGCTGGGCCTCACCTGGGAACCCCCAAGCACAATGCAAATAGCTCCTGCAGGAAGGCTCCAGCCAGTGACTGACTTTGCACCTCCCTGGAGGCCCTAGAGCCAGTGGACCCAGTGGATAGCTTCAGACCATAACAGATTAAAACTCTACACATCCATAAGTGACACACTTAGTGAGCACCAAAGCCCCACTGAAGCAAGTCCTGCTCCATAGGGGTGTTTCCTGCACATCAGCTCTCCCACTGTAGCTGCAGCTGGTCCTCACAGCCAATTGGCCTGGAGGTCAATTCCTCTCAGTGATGCCAACACTAAGCAAGGCTCAACTACAAGACTGTGCACACAGACCACACAGGGATCCACCTAGAGTGCCCAGCTTAGGTGACTGGGGAGGCTAAGCCACTGGGCCCTATAGGACACCTCCTACACAAGGCCACTCTACCAATTCCAGGAGACATAGCAGCTCTACCTAATACATAGAAACAAACACAAGGAATCAGCCAATGGGGAGACAAAGAAACATGTCACAAATGCAAGAAATGAAGCAAGCAAATTTTGGGGTATAAAGTTCAAAACCATGGTTATAAGGTTACTCAAGGATCTTCATGAGACTTTCAAGGATCTTAGTGAGAAAGTCAAAGACATGCAAAAAGCCCAGTCAGAAATTAAATATACACTAACTGAAATAAAGAATAATTTACAGGGATCCAACAGTAGAGTAGAGGATGCTGAGAATCAAATCAATAATTTGTGGAATATGAGGAAGCATAAAACACCCAATCAGAAGAGCTTAAAAAAAAATCCAAAAATATGAAGATAGTGTAAGGAGCCTCTGGGACAACTTCAAGCATACTAACATCCACATTATGGGGGTGTCAGGAGATGAGAGAGAGCAAGATATTGAAAACCTATTTGAAGAAATAATGACAGAAAACTTCCCCTCCCTGGTAAAAGAAATAGACTTACATGTCCAGGAAGCATAGAGTCCCAAACAAAAGGAACCCAAAGAGGCCCACACCACAACACATCATAATTAAAATTCCAAGGGTGAAAGACAAAGAGAGACTCTTAAAAGCAGCAAGAGAAAAGCTGTTAGTTACCTACAAGGGAGCACCCATACGACTGTCAGCTGATTTCTCAACAGAAACTTTGCAGGCCAGAAAAGAGTGGCAAGAAATATTCAAAGTGATGAATAGCAAGGATCTACAAATAAGATTAATCTACTCAGCAAAGCTCTTCTTTAGAATTGAAGGTCAGATAAAGAGCTTCACAAATAAGAAATAAGCCAAACCAATATTATATGAAATATGAAATGGTGAAGGGTATTGAAGAAGAAGAAGAAGAAGAAGAAGAAGAAGAAGAAGAAGAAGAAGAAGAAGAAGAAGAAGAAATAAAAATGTGAACAATAAAATAGCAACAAATACATATCAACAATTGAATCTAAAAATAAACAAACAAAAAATCTAATGAACAAAATAAACTGGAGAATAAAATAGAATCAGAGGCATGGAAGTGTGGAACAGACTGATGAATCTCAGAGGGAAGGGGGAGTGGGGGTGGGAAGAGATTAACCAAAGATATTAACAATGGACACAGACAGTAGGGGGGTGAAGGCCTGGGGTGGGTTGGGAACAGGGTGGAGGGGGGCAGAGGGGGGAAAAAGAGGGACATCTGTAATACTGTCAACAATAAAGGTTAAAAAAGAAGTAAGTAAGTAAATAAATAAATAAATGGTTTTCTGCTATGCATCTTATTTTATTTCTCATTTCTTCATCTGTGTTGCTCTGTGACCATGTATTCCACTTAGTCTAACCATATGCCGAGCACTGCATTCAGGGTGTTTTCAGTTGGTGTGCCCATGTGTGGTCATTCTGGTGGTTGAAATATGGAGATGTCTCCACACAGCTGGTGAGTAATTTCTGCTCAGGTCTCATGAGGACTCCTCCACAATCCAGCACCTCCTGGGTTGACACCAAGCTCTGGGGGGGGGGGGGGGGGGGGGGGGGTGAGAAATAGGGGGTCTCTAGGAACTTACTCTAGTGCCAAGGCTGGGATTCGTTTTGGCTGGGACTGATGTCATTCAATTTGTTCCATATTTTGAGCATCCCTCTGATTAGTATGAATACACCACGTTTTCTTTATTCCCTCTAATTCACTGCTGCCTCAAGCAATGCTTGGTGAACACCTTTATCTGTGTGCCCTAAGGATATGTGTGAGAATTTTTGGGTTATAGTATCAGATACAGAACTTCTTGGTCATGGGTTGAAGTTGGGTTGCTGACCCATCATTGTTTCACAGGAATGAGCAAACAAAGAAAGCTCAGTGAAAGCAATTTTCTTTAAAGCAGTATGGTGGGTTTCATGTCATCTGTTGGAGAGAGCTTGGTCACACAGTCAGAATCAGCAGCAAGGGAGGATGGGAAATGTCATTTCTTTTTTTTTAATTGAATTTATTGGGTGACACTGGTGAACAAGACTATACAGGTTTCAGGTGCACAATCCCACAACGCAAACTGTATTGTGTTTACCACCCCAAGTTAAATCTCTGTCCATTGCCATTTATCTACCCTATACTCTCCTCCATCTGCCCCTCCCCCCCCCTCCCCCTGGCAGTCACCACACTGTTGTCCATGTCCCTCAGTCCCCCCTCCCCCGGGAAATGTAATTTCTAATTGTTCTGCCATGTGCCCAGATACAATTAGTAGCATATAAGAATGAGATTTTGTATAAGAATGAGCAGTTTGCCCTGCAGGAGAGGGCTAACTCAGCATCCAGTGGCTCACATCCTGCACATTCTGAGAGGGAGCTCCTCTTCAGGACTGACGCCTGGCCAGCTTTTTGGAGATGAGCTCTGAGCCCTTGGGACAGTCTGCCCAGCAAGAGTGTTTTTATATTCGTGAGGCCTTAGGCATGAGCTACCACCTCTGAACAGATAATGCACATAAACCCTGTGACTTATGGTGAAAGGTCTGCTCTGTGAGGGGCTGGAGTCTGAGCAGCTGAGGTCAGTCATGCAGGAAGGCTCACACGCCTGTGGCACTGACCCTCCACTAAACACTCTGGACTTCAGGCCCCAGGGAACTGCCCAGGTGGGCAGCAATGGCATATGTCACACATGGCTGCTGGGAGAATTAGTGCCATACGACTCCACTCGAAGGAGGCACCCGGGGACTGTCTGGTTTCTCCTGGCATTTGTCCCATGAGTCTTTTCCTTTGCTGATTTTAATGGGATTTTTTTTCTATACTAAACCAGAAATGTGAGTTGAACAGTTTTTCTGAGTGTGGTAATCTTTCCAGTGAATTTTTGAGTCAAGTGTGGTCTTAGGGATTCCTGACACAGACCTAAATGTCACTCTTAAAATACTGAAGATGAAGAAATTTAGTACTATAAAGTACTTACAACTAAATGCATAAATAAATAAAATGTTCAAAAAGGGGTCCTTTCTACTCCCTTTTTAACGTTTCTGAGAATAAATTGGGTATGCGAGAAGTTGCATTAACTCTTCTAAGCCACAAGGCACTCTAGCTCAGAGAATCTCACTCCGAGTCACACGAGAGCTGTGCAGTCTCAAGTGTACCCACCCAGCCCATTGTGAGTCAGTCTGGTCGGGTCTCAGCAGCTGAGATTGGAGAGGCCGCCAAGCACCTCTCAGCCACTTGAGGCGGTTCACTCTCCACTGTGAGAGAGCTGGCTCAAGGAGAGAGCTGGAAAAATAGCCCCTTTTTACTGCTCATCATTTGAGTTGGCATGGAAAACATTGTTTCAATAAGTTGGCATGGGAACCACCTTCTCCATGATCTTGAAGAACTAGAAGACTAGGCTTGCAATTTTGGCAGCACTTTTCTGATTTGGATTCTTTCCCCCATCCCACTCATAGTTCTATACTTTTCTTGAAAAGACCATTTCCCACTTACAATGCTGGATATATTACCTTACTTGAGCATCACACACAATCATTTTGCGCTATAATTGCCTTCGAAGCCATTCCTTTTACTTATACAGTAGTCATAGAAAATGTTTCTCTTGG